AAAAAGATTTCTTATCATACGAGATAAACGATCAACAGGATTCTCATTTAATCTAGCTTCATCCAAGACTACATGTTTTCTACCATGACTCGCAGCAAGAGCCAATTCTTGCAAAAGGTTACTTAATTGATAAGTACCACGAATTTCAAATTTTCGATGACCATCAGAGTCTGCAGTACCAAGAGTTATAGTTTTTGGACCAGAATCATGTATGGTTATTTGACAATCACCATCGGTATCTTCTTGTTCCAATAGAAGTCGCTTTGTTTCTTCCACATCAATAATAAATTTTCGCGGTTTGTTCATTTTTGGGTCTAAAAAAAAATAAAATAAAAATATATATACATAAGTTTAGAAAAAAGGTAAACCATAATAATGATTATAAAAAGTTACTAAATTAAAGAAAAAAAAAAAAAAAAACGCATGCTTTATATAATCCTTGCTATATCTAGTATGTGAAAAATGGAATAGATCGTAATGGACTCGATGGGTGGGGGGGAATGAAATTATCGTGTGATAGACCAATTAAAATTGAAGTAACCGAATCAACTTTTGACCGATAATTCAAAGATTTGGTAGTACGGATCGAAACGAAGGGCGATATATAGAATTCGTAATATGATGAATCGGTGGTGGAGGACTTCGATCAAGGAAACTCTGTCGATAGCGACCAAGGTTTAAAACCATTCCTTTTTCACACCCGGAATTTTTACACAAATATAAGGAAAAAGGGATTAAAGATAATAGAAAATATACTTTACCATGAGAGGCTCTTCGTTTTCGAGGTGCTCTATCACTAGGACAAACCGTTTTCTGAGTATTTGACTGTGACATCTAAAATCAATATTAAAAATCAATATTAAAAATCAATATTAAAATGAATCATGATTAGAATAATTAAATAGATATATCTGATTAAAGAAAACCAACAGAAATATCCAGAGATATCCAAAGAGGTTTCCAAAATACATACCGCAAAGCTCCTAACCTGTCTAGCATTTGAAACGCTAAGACTATTGGAACCAGTACTGTAATATATTTTTGAGTCTGCAAATATGTAGTTACTGGTTGTGTCTCCCATTTCCATAAATAACTATATATATATTAAATATAAATATATATATATATTTGTTAATAATGTTATTTTACTATCGATCAAAAAAAAAAAAAAGAAATAAAAAATTAATATTTTATATAAACTTACAAACTTATTCTTGTATAAAAATTAACAAGATTTTAAAAAAAATAATAGAATAAAATAAAGGAGTAGGGAACACTTGAAAAAAATAACGAAAAAGTATGTATCGTGTAAGATAGTAAAATTTTGAATTTTTCTTTGTCGGTTTATTTCTTATTCTTACAGAAAATAAGGGTAAAAAGGGTAGAAAGAAATTTCAGCTTAGTAAAAATTCCTGGATTTTTATACGAAAAACGTCTATATGATAATGACGTAATAGGTAGGATTAATAAAAAAAAAATTTTTTTATAGCATATATTGGCTCAGAACAATCAAATGATCATGTGATTCTGTGAGTTAAAATAATCGTTGAAAATAATTATAATACGTAATAACTTTTAAAATCTGAACCAATGGAAAGGATCGAAGAAGTTCGTTAATAATTTCCACTTCTGATAACGAAATTATTAATAGATACGATTGCCACAGAGTCTTTCTAGTTTATAGAAAGAACTTTGTACATCAAAAAAAAGAAGTGGATTGGAAAGAGGGAATAAAATGGAATGATGAAAATTCAAAGACGGTTTAAGTTGGAAGAAGGATGTTCCCTTTAATGAAGGAAAAAAAAAGTAACGAGCGAATTATAATTGACAAAAGCAGTTATTTTAATTATTAAGATAAAGATAAAGAAAGGAAGAGATGAAGAAATACGGGATAAAACCGATAAAACCTCAATTATTCGTAATTATTCGTAAAAATCGGTCACAATAAAATTGATGACAGAGAAAGTACAAATAAGAAAGGCTTTCTTCAAGTTGGTTGAAGAAGAGGAGAGGTGGGGATAAAAACACAAGATGAACTTTTAAATAAAAAGGAACGTTTAGTTTTTATTTATTTATTTGTAGGTATAACAAACAAAAAAAAAGAAATACGAGACAGAAGCAATTAAGAAAAGTTTGGCGCAATTTAGATTTATGACAGTTTTGTATGTGTATTGATGTTGTTGGTAAATTCATTGCAGACCACTAACCTATCAACTATAAACACATATAAATACGTACTAGGTTCGCTTAGAATTGAAAATTAACTTTGCTTGCAGATTATGTATTACCGTTACGATGATTTTACTATGGCAAAGAACAGCCAATATTCCAATTGAATAAATTAAATAATATTAGTTTTGCAAATATTTGAATTTCTTTTTAACCTAAAGCGCGCCCATTTACTTTAGTTAGCATATCACAAATGCACATTTTCACTAACATTTTGATTATAAAGGTGGTCGGATTATTTCTATGCATTTTTCTAAACTTGTTTCTATTAAGCATATGCAATGTGGGACTGTTCAAGTTGATAGTGATTGATTTAGTAATGATTGATGAACTCTTGTTTTATTATCGTTATATTTATTATTTATTGATAATTATTAATATTACCTTTCGTATGTTTCGGCGGAAACTTTTGTCCGATAAAGTAATTCTTGCCACTAAGACTACGGTTTATAGTTAGAAATCTAAAGCAATTTTCGATTTAGAGTTAACTTTTTGTTTGTTTTTAGTTTTGAGTTTTGCCCTCCCCGAACCTGTTGACATTCCGCCCTCACCAATTCCATAATCTTGTGTGACCAAATCAGGCGCTCTTTTTAGATATCCAACAAGTCGGATCACACAAACCGGTATCTTTCAGAATTCCTTTTCGGTTGATCTGGTAGACTGTTACATGTACTACCATACGTATGAAATCTCGTGTATAACAGATCCTCATAACGATAACACAAGTGAATAAAAACAATCTGCTAACAAAATTCTATCTTCATTTATGTTTATTGTACATTGCTGTCATTTATGGAATCTTTCAGTGTAAGTTTTAGTGTAAGCTTCAGTATAAGCTTCAGTGTAAGCATGAGGATTGATTAAAATTAGGCGCCTTTTGTTATATTTTTGATTATCTACTTTAGATTTGAGTTAGCGTATGACTCCTTCATATCATGAAAATATTATGAATGTACCACCCGTGTGGCAAATATTATCTTTATTCCGAGTTGCATTGTTTCATTTGCACAACAAATAGTATTAGAATGCGAACCTCGGTGCTTTCCGAAGCTTCCGAAGCACGAACGTATATGCTGAATTTAAATGCTTCATGTTTGTGTGTGGTATGCCTTAACGTTTAGTTTTATTTTACCCTTTTTATTGGCTGTGTTTATGAATTAACTATTTTAATTACTTTTTAAGAATTTTTATCTTTAAATTTATTTAAATATATATATATATAATTTATAATTATATCTTGTTTGGTAAATATAATTATTAAATTTCAGGTTATTGTTGTTTTTGTTAATTATAATACTGATAATATACATTGTACATTAATAGCTGATTAAAAATTTCTACTTGTTTTTTTAATTGGTTGTTTTTTAATTGGTTATTTTATTTACTAATTTATCTTCTTTTTCTTATCCTTTCTTTTTTTTTGGTTACTTTTTTATCTATTTTTTATTATATTATTTTTTTTAGTTTTAGCTATTTATTGGTTAATAATCAAAAATAAAAAAATTATTATTTTTAAAATCGATAAACATAGTTACTAATCTGTTAAAAATTAAATTTTACGTATATACGTAGATATATACGTATATCTATTAATTAATATAACGTATTTATAAAAATAATTAATTTTAATTAGCTAAAATTATTAAATATTAGTTAATACTACGTAATTTCGATATAGTCACCGGATTGGTAACGTAACTAGTGCCTACACGAAAATTAATTTATAGGCCAAAAAATATAATTTGTAACTATATATATTACTATATCAAGAGTAACTACGTAACTATATTGAGGCTGGACTATATTTGTAAAATGATTAATAACTACGTATATATCGATATATAGCTATACAAAACCATTTAAATTATTTACCATATATAGAGTTTGGAACCGGATTAGACCTTCGGATTTAAATCCGATTTTCTTCGGATTTAAATTCGGATATAAAACCGAATCTACCGAATCTGTAATACTCACATTATCTATACAAACGTATAGAAAACAGAAGTATTCGACCATTTATAGAACCTCTATAACGATAAAATAATTTTTCGTTCTTAAATGATCAAAAGTTTTTGCCATTGAGTGTATGCATGTGTGTATGTGTGTACATACAATGATACTACTATCAATAAAGTAAATGTTTTGGAGTAAATTCAGATTACAATTCGAACTTAAATTTGAAGCAAAATATCACTAAAAGCATTTAACAATTACTAAATTTTTTTAAATATATAATATTCTTTCAGATACTAATTACAAAAAAATATACCTATAATAAAGAATATTTTATATAATTTATAATATTAGTGTAATAATAATACCCTGCCTTACTATTAGTTACCTTCATTATAATTTCCCACGCAACCATATCATGATCGGGAATCTTCCATGAAAAGATTTCCGGTCACAAATAATCACGTAATGAAGGTAGGCATAAACAACGTAAGGCAAGGTATTATTTATTTATTTCTTGTGAGAGTTTAAAATTACAACAAAGAATTCCCGATGATCATATGATGCAGATGGCCCTTTGGGCCATTTGTATCCTATGATTATCGGGAATCTTTTTTGTAATTTTTAAGCATCCAGAAAATAAATATGAATTTCAAATATAAATATTATACTGTATATTATATATAAATTTTTAATTTTTTTAATTTTTTAGATTTAATGTTTTTATAAACTTAAACCAAACTAAACTTTAAATCAAATTTAAATTTAATTTAAATTTGAATTTAAACTTAAATTAAAAAATTTTAAAATTATATATATTTGTATATATATTGTATATAATTATAGTTTTGTATAATATATTATAATTTTAAAACAAAAATTAAAATTTTTTATTTTTAAAATAAGAGTAAAGATTTAAAACTAGAGATAAATAAAAATAAGAATAAAATTTAACAAAAAATTTTTTAAAAATCTCAAAAATAATTTTGTAAACAATTTTTAATTTTTAATTTTTTTATTTTAATAGTTGTATTATTTAATTTTATTAAAATATCATTTGATATAAAAATGAATATGACACCAGGGAATATTGATATCCACCCCCAATTTTATTATGAAAA